GTTCGAGTAACAGGAAAAAGGAACCCAGCGTGTGAGGAGCTGTGTAAATGAAGAACAAATAAAGACAAGACAAGAGATACGATATCGTCCGGAGTGGGTTTATTACAAGTGTGTGTGTGTGCCTGATGCTGGCACCTGGTCTGGAGTGATAGGAAGGCATGGGCCAGATCAGCTCAATAACAACAGTAGGAGGCTGCTAGATGTTTGTGCAGCCCATGGGCTTGTAATTACCAACACGCTGTTCCAGCATCGGCGCATCCACACAACATCATGGATGCATGCCGGGTCCAAGCAAGAACATCTGGTGGACTACATAGTGACGGACCAGCGGATGCGAGCACATGTCCTTGACACCAGGACCTACCGTGGAGCTGATCTGCCCTCTGATCATCGACTTGTCATCTGTAAGATGCGCCTGCCATTCTTCCACTCCGGTGGTGTGTGTACACCCAGGACTCCATTCCAACCTAAGGTGGCCTGGTCTCAACTAGCTGATGGAAGTTGCAAGCGAGAATTTCATCATCGCTTGCGGCTGGGGTTGGCATCGTCCCCCACTCCAGATGTTGAGGGTAAATGGGCGAGGTTTAGGACTGTGACTCATGCAGCTGCAATGGCTGCTTTGGGTACGCGGTCCAGACCTCCCCAGAGACCCTGGCTGACAGAGGTGTTCAGGATGGTTGAGAAAAAGCGACAGGCCCACTCTAATCGTCTACAGCATCCCACGTTAGAGAATGAGGAGGCTTACCGCAGCCTTCGCTCGGAGGTTCGGAGAGCAGTGAGGCGCTGCAAGGATGGGTGGTGGTCACAGGTTGCTGAGGAGATGGAGTCTGCCTCAATGGCCCACGATCACAAATCCCTATTTAACTCCATCAAAAAAGTAACCTGCAGCATCACACGTATTACCATCATTAGGGGAAAGAACGGTGATACAATCTCCGACCCCCAGGAACAGGTATGCAGATTTGCTGAGCATTTCTGTGAGGTAATCCCTTAGCCTGGAAAACATCATGGGACAAAGTGGGGATGATCCTGCTGAGGCTGCGGTGCCTCAAATATTGGAGGAGGAAGTCAACCCCTGTGAGTGGCTGGCTGAGGTGCCATCCGTTTAGGAAGTACTGAAGGCGATTCAGAGTCTTAGACTAGAAAAGGCACCGGGCAGAGATGATCTCCCAAGAGAAATGCTGAGGGAGGGTGGCGTTTGTGCGCAGACTGCCCTACATGACATCATAACAACAGTCTGGGCCACTGGACGGGTTCCACAGGACTGGAAGGATGCCCTGGTGGTCCCCCTCTTTAAGAAGGGGGACCACACAGATTGTAACAACTACAGGGGCATTTCACTTCTCAGTGTGCCGGTAAAGGTCCTGGCAAGGTTTATTCAACATCGCCTTGCTAGATACGCTGAGGAGAGGCTTGCAGAGCCCCAATGTGGTTTCAGGAAAGAGCGGTCCTGCACAGATGCCATATTTTCTGTCCGTCCGCTACAGCAGAGGTGTAGGGAATTCCAACAAGACCTACATCTCTGCTTTATTGACCTGGTCAAGGCCTATGATACCATCAGTAGGCCTGTGCTCTGGGTTGTTCTTCGTGCTTTCAGAGTCCCTGACCCTCTGCTCACGCTCATTAAGGACCTTCATGATGGTGAGCAGGCCCGGGTAAAACTACGTGGCCAGGAGTCGGAGCCATTCGCTGTACACCTTGGGGTGCGACAGGGATGTCCTCTGGCTCCCACATCATTTAACATCTATTTTGACCACGTAGATCGTGAGGCCTTCAGTAGCTGTACCGGAGGATTTTCCTTCTGGTACAGATACAATGGGAGGCTGATCGATGCCCGGGTGCAGTCAAGGGATGGCTCCCTATTGGTCAACCACGTTATGTATACCGACGACCTGGTAATTGCGGCTCACTCAGAGGAGGAGTTGGAGGCGTTGCTGCTGAAGCTGGAGTGTGCCACTAAGAGGTGGGGCCTTACTATCAGCCCCACCAAAACCAAGCACCTGCCTGGGTATTTTGTACCATCGGGCACTCCACCGCCACAACTCCCAATCAGTGATAGGGCAGTTGTGGAGAGAGTGGAGAGTTTCCCATAACTGGGCAGTGTGCACATTGTTGTATATGTTGGTTATCAAAATTTGTTATGTTGTATGCGTGCGTGGGTGAAATTATTATGTTGTATATGTGGGTTATGAATATTCAGTGAAAATAATAATAATTAAATGAAATTTGGCCAAATGTGTAATTATCCGGAAATATGTTAATTTATGTAATTATGCACATTTTTATTATGCCAATTCGAGAGGTAATCGTATTAATTATGCGAGTGGGTGTAATTATGATAATGCAAGTCGTTATGATAACCAGACCCCGCCTCGGTGATGAGGGTGGGTTATCGATCGGAATAAGGCAATTAATCGTATGCAGTTATGCAGGTGTGGTGTAAGTATGCAAGATTAACTTAGATTAACTCGGCATCGTTGTCTAGGTTCGTCTCATTCTCGCTTTAACATTCCCAGAGTGTGTATTCGTGGTTATATTTTAGGTCCCCGGTTCACCCCGTTATCGCTTTAACATTTACTGAGTATGTATTAGTGTGTTTATTAAGGTCACCAAGTTCAGATCTCGACGCAGAAGCAGATCTTATGCATAGATTTCAGGAAAGAATCACACAACCACTTCTGTATTGATCAATTTATTACTAATTCAACCTTAACTATGATATAGTATGCGAACTCTCAATCCCGGAACGTCAACACGGCATCAATACAGTATCATCAACGATTGTCTGATTTCACTTTGACAACGGCACATGGATCCCGCATAACGCGATGGTTGTTAGTGAGAGAGAGAGTCGTTAAAATATGCAAATACTATGCTAAGAAAACCTTAACGTTAATGAATGATTATACTCAATATTGTTCACGCAGTACCGCACTCCTTATTGATCATACGCAACCCTTATCACGTTGTTAGCACCTTGGGTCACGGGACAGTTGAATATTCTGTAGAGGATGCGAGTACGTGCGGCGATTATGACTGAAAGATACTTGAAAGATTATACGGCGATAAAAAAAACACAATCAAAAACAGTTATTATTCTTAAAGGCACCAATCTCAACAGATACATCGGCAGGTTATCTGACAACAGAACGGCTCAGAGTAAGGGCCTGCGACGGTGCTCCTTTTCCGAAGATCGTTATCTTATACCAAGTTTACTAATTGGGGACCAGATCACCTGATAAGGATCCGGTGGGCCACCACTCCCCACGTGAGCGTGGCTCGGCGGAAGGAGGTGCCAAGAATCAGTTCGTATTGATGGATCTGTTGGGAATTTATGCGATTAAGAGTACAGCCCACTAAATATTAAAGATAAAAATTACGAATACTTTTATAAACGACGGATGGCCATCACTCGGTCTCGTTGTGATGCCTTCCCAGCCACGGATGGCTTATGGGTTCGAGTGTGTTTGAGTGGTAAGAGTTGTCTTGAATAGTCAGTGTTCGGAGTCGATTCTTTATGTCAAACAGACGCCTGGTGGTCGTGTGGTGAGGGGCGGTGCGCGTCATACGTATCAGTCGCTCCCCTGTCACCGTGGTGAACTGGTTCGGATGCCCGTTGATACGCTGTCGCAGTTCGGAACCCGGTCGGTAGGTGGCGCCCACAACTCGCTCGCAGCGTGCAGTGTTGTCGTCGACCAGGGTGTGCACGGAGCCTCGTCGCCAAACCGCGACCCTCACCACTCCGGCGGCAGCAGAGACCTCCGACTCGGCAGAGGTTGACCCACGCAGGCCGAGTTGAGCTGTCAAGCGGGTCTTGCCCGCCTGCAGAGGAGATGGGGAGCCGCTTGAGTCGAGCCCCGAGAGCCGGCTTTGGTAAGCCGATCGAACTCGGCTGAGTCCCAGACGAGCTGAAGATGAGTCGAGCCGACCCGCTGGTCGCAGCTCGCTCCTGAGCCGACCCTCCCGGTCGGGCTCGCTCCTGAGTCGACCCGCTGGTCGCACTCCTGAGTCGACCCGCTGGTCGCACTCGCTCCTGAGTCGACCCGCTGGTCGCACTCCTGAGTCGACCCGCTGGTCGCACTCGCTCCTGAGTCGACCCGCTGGTCGCACTAGTTTCCAATGCTCAGGATCCTTTCCTTTATGCCGAAAAATCCCCCTGGATCCCGCCCACAAGGCGGGGCTTCTTTCGATTTTTGCTGTGTCAGGATCTGTCCATAGGCAGGTGTGTCCATGTGTGTGTCCGTACGGTATATTCCGTTGTCACACTCCCTCCATAAAACCCACGAGCAAACAATCAGATGTTACAAATTGCCTCGAAGTCGTCTCTCTGTCTGGGTGCAATATTATCTCTTGTCTGGCCTTCTTCATGAACCCAAAACACAGACGTTACAAATCGTCTCATAGGCGTCTTTGTTCGTGTTGCACAACCTGGAGGGAGGGGCAACACTCTCTCCGACCCGGCGCACAAAGAAATGGTTAAGAAGTTTTAAGTTAACATTTGTCCCTTACTATTTCACAGTTATGATTCTGTATGTAACCTAAGGTCTGTCGTTTCCCATCGTGGTGCTTGACTCAAGTGGAGGTGTTTCCCCGAGCGTATACACACTCCTATCCCGCGCTGCGGGGATACAAAGACGGCCGGGATCTCCCTTTCTCTCCGACCCTGGGTTTAACATCGGTTTTTTTTTTATTATGTATTTATATTCGACCTGGTGGTGATTCATCCCGTTATCCTGGCTTTTCATAAGTTTTACTTTTGTCTTTTCATGCATATGCTTATTATCATTAATTTATTTCCGATATCTTAGGTTAAGGGGTAAGTTTCTTGATCCTAGGAATTCGTATTCCTTGGTGTCTGCATGGTTATATAAGCGGAATATAGTTTACGGTGAATAGCGTTAACATTGATGTTATGTACGATATTATGTATTGTGATGTCTTTAACTTAACTTGTTTGTCAGAGCTTTACTGACACGAAGTTGCATTCCATAGCCCCGCAGTCATTGCCCCACCCTATCTCTGCTCGCCGTTGTTGTTGCCGTCCAGCTGACGCCGTTAACTCAAGGCCTCATTAATTTCCGTCACTCCTTGTAGGTGAGGGCGGTTGAACCTTGGAGTCAGTTCTGGTTTTTGTCTGCCTGCTTCTTCTTGTGTCCCCTGACCCCGGGAGTTATTATTCCTACTTTTATGGCCTGTCGAAGCCCGACTCGCTGTTGCTGGGCTGGTGTCGTTCCCGGCTTTTTGCTTACGTTTGCAGTTCGCCGTGCTCTTAATTTCCTTCCCTCTTCAACCTTATATCGACTATTCGCTCCTGTCTGGGTGCGATTCAATTTTGACTTAGGAAGGTTCTGATTGTCATATGCTTCGGGTCGAGTTGTATAGAAAGTATTAAAGTATGGAAATAACATTTCATATTGACTTAATGATGGTGATGGTTCAGTAGGCGTAACTTGTGGCCTGGTTTAATTGGAGTGGGTGTGAATATCAATAACTTTAGCCTACCCTGTTGTTAAATTCCGACTTTAACGTTACTTTAATAGCAATACAGAATAATTGAGCTTTTTGTCTTAACTAGGCGAACGCGAACTTCTGGTGACCCCCGCAGCCTTGTTGTTCAGCTGGGTCTGCCTCCTTGAGAGATATACACCACTCTTATTCTCCTCTCACTGTGGCCATCCAACCTTCTGCTCTGGGAGTGTTATTCTTAATTTCAGGTCAAAGGCCCCCTCACGTTCAGACGTGCAGGGTTGTTTAAATCAGCTCCCTCCCCTGTGCACGTGTTCCAACTAGCTCGGAATCCCTAAACACACAATCAGTGATGATTCCTGGCTTTCTGTGGTTGTGATTTAGACAAAGGCGCCTCTGCTTTCTTCCATTGCCTTTGAGTCGACACTGCCCTATTATTTGCCCATGTGCTGAGGTCATAGAATTCGTTTTGACTTCAGTAATATTAACATTCAGTATTGGATTAGCAAATGGGCAATGGTTCATTGATGTAGCTCGCAGCCTGGTCTCCAATTTGAGCGAGCGCGAGGATCGATAATTTAGCCTACTCTGTTGTTGAATTTCGAATTTTGACGTTACTTTAAAACCATGCAGGATGGTTGGGCTTTTTGCCTTAACTATGTCTGGCTGACACTCCCACTGTCTCTGCCGCCTGCACGGGTGACATGTGCCCGTTCATCAGGCCTTATCTTTCCTTGAAGCAAGGTTGCAAATTCTGCCATCCTAGCCCTCCTCCAGTTCATTACTTAACAACACCTGGTGTTTTGCAGTTTGCTGCGCTTTGGTGTGTTTCATTCATTAAAAAACAAGTAAAAAGATAATATATAAAAATATCATCAAATATTATTAATCTCAATTTTGGAAGAAGGGTTAGTATACAACATTCCGCCCTTTTAAAAATGACCAGTGGTCAAATGGCCACGGGTTATTTTTAAAAAAAATGTATACCCTTCTTCCATCATGAACCATCGATTGTCCTCAAGTTTTGCTGCTATTCCTTACAACGCGCGCGTACGTGTCACAACTTAACATGGTTATATGTGACAAGAGAGAGGAAAAAAGAAAAAGAGAAAAAAAAATTCTAAAGGAAGGTAAAACGATAAGGGAGGGAAAAATGATTCTATTGACTACGTGTTATAGGAGATATCGTTAAAAAGATAGTTTCTACGGTTATTCTTGGGTGGCATCATCAGGCCTTGGCTCTATCCCTGTTCCTGGGCTTGAATGGTAGGTGGCTTGTGCCTGCGATTAGTCTTTTAAGTTCGGCATTCATTTTGGCCACATGGTATGTTAAGGTTAGAATAGCCAGGACTAGTATGATCATCCCTGTTGCCCCTGTGATTCCCATCCCCATCTGTTGATTTCGCTGATATCCAGCCTCTTCGGTCGCCCAAGTAAGATCTGTTATGTTAATCTCTGATTCGCTGAGGGATAATTTCACCATATGGAATTCTTTACTGTTCAACAAGTTGGACAGAGTGCTGCTTATCTCAAACTTGTGGCCTCGGAATGTGTCTACTATTTCTACCTCCGCTTGGTGTAGGCTTTTGTCTAGGTTATATAATACCTTGTCCCCTATGCGTACGAATGTTCCTCTTGGTATTGTGACCAGTGCGACGTGGCTTGGAATCGGAACTTCCATGGTTATGGAGTGTTGATCGGTGGAAACAATTGCCGTGTCTAGAGGGGTGCTAATCAACCACTGGGCATTAGCTATCATGGCCACTGTTCCGGTTCTTTCTTTGGGTTTACTTAGCTTAAACTTGCAAGTTTCCTTGGAGCTTAGGTTTGACAGACCACACATTATTTCTGCTGTATTGGTCAGAAATGGTTCCCCTGGGCAGAGCCAATGAACCTCTTTCATTATTTGACACAGGTTTAGGTCAGGCACCAGGTACTTAAGGGGGCCTTCTTCCTGGTAGGCCACCACTAAGGGAGTTTCCATCTTGGAGTAAATGTCGTTATTCCATGTACCCACGTTCAATACTGTCCGCAATCGAAATACATTTCCGGGTTTGACCAGGGGTAAATTTAGCAAAAATGCCAGCTGTCTAGTTTGGGGGTCCACATGTATGGGTGTGGCTGTACCCATGTTGAAGGCAATTTGTACTTGAGTTGGACTGATTGTTTCCGGGGATGCTGCTTGTAGCATATCTTTTATCAGTGTAGGAGTTACCAGATATGACGGAATTTGTCCTTGTATAAGATCACTGATGCTGCCGCTGATGCTACGCAACAAGTCTTGGATCACCCACTGAATTGGCTCTCGAATACTCTCTTCTTCGTATAGACCTCGGATTGCAGAACTCAATTCTTGGAATGTTAAGTTAATCATGATAGAATGTAGGTTTACGAGAACCACGGTGTCTCGGAGGGTGGATCCCATTTCGACCAGATTCTTTTGTTGGTGTTGTATTTGCTGATAGATCTGATGCATATCGAGCTGTAAATTCTCGATACCTTGCGTGAGGTGTCCAATCTTTACGGCGTTGGATATGGATACTCCTAGTGTGATTAAGGAGCTAAAACCGGATAGTATTCCAAAGACCCCTCCCAGGCCGATAGACCTCTTGGAACGTGTTAGGTTGACAGTGGTGGGGGGAAGTATCATGGTTCTTTGTAATTGCTTCAGGATCGTTCCGATATTCTGTTCACTATATCTTAGGAAGTCATAATACCATATTCGGGTTGCTTTGGTGGCTTGGGGTGGTAACTTCCCGAAGTGCTTCTTTACCACCAAGGCAGGTTCCAAGGAGACATAGACTTGTTGGGTTACTATTTTCGTTTCGGTTACTAGGAAGCTGGAGGAGTCTCTCAGCATCACCCCGGATTCTGGTCCTGGCTTGATCAGCTCTTGGCTCCCTTCTAGCTTGGCAAGGTACGTTAGCAGGAGCGTGAGCAGGAGGGCTGCCATTCCCTGGAAAACATGTTACATATTATTGTAGTGTGATAAGCCCATTAGTTTAGTCCCCCCCCCCCTTTTTCCACCTTTATTCCTCATCTTGCTCCACCAGCACAGGGTACGGTTTGATTTGGTTGATGTGCACCAACTTGTATTGCTGCTCTCTTCCTGTCTTTGTGATTTTTAGCTGATATACGACTGGGGACATTTTGTCAACAACCTCGTGTGGTCCTGTCCAGGAAGGCAGGAATTTCCTGCACTTCTGTTTTCTTTTCTCGTAATTGAGGTACCACACCTGGTCTCCTAGCTGGTATTCTGCGTGGCTGGCTTTTTGGTCATAGTATGCTTTGCTCCCCTGAGCCTCTACTTGCAACTGGTCCCTGACCATAGCGAATGTGCTCTGTAGGTGACTATTGAGTCCCGTCAGGTATTCAGTTGGCGTCATTGCCGTCGGGGTCTCGTCCTCCGCTGGGACATATAACAGGTGTACTGGGAGGGTCATTAGCCTCCCTGTCATGATCTCGAAGGGTGTCCTGCCTGTAGCTCGGTTGGGTGTGGCTCGCATGGCCATCAAGACTAGGGGTAGTTTCGTATCCCAGTCGCGGCCCGTGGTAGACACATATTTCTTTAGGAGGCTCACGATGGTCCTGTTGGCTCTTTCCACCTGTCCTGAGGATTGTGGATGGTATGCGACATGTAATTGTCTTTTTACTCCCAACATCTTCCACACTTCTGTGATGACCTCGGCTGTGAAGTGGCTTCCTTTGTCTGAATCGATCGTTGACGGTAGGCCCCATCTACTGAATATTTGGTTGATCAGTAGGATAGCGGTCGTTTCCGCGGTGTTGTTGGGTGCTGGTAAACACTCTGTCCATTTAGAGAATGCACAGGTCACAGTTAGCATGTACTTGTTCCCTTTGGTTGATCGGTTGACAGGTCCTATCCAGTCGATTTGTAGGTTGGACCAAGGATAATCTGTTCCCCTCCTCTGTAGGGGTGCCCTATGCTGTGGGGTCGTTGGCTGGTACTTACAACACACGAGACAGTTGGACACATGTTTGTGTATGTCTTCCCCCATTTTTGGCCAGTAGGCCACCTGTCGCAGCATCTGTCCCGTATTCACCTCGCATCGGTGGCCGCTGCACGGTTCATTGTGGGCGTGTTGTAACATTATTTCTCGATATTGAGAGGGGACTACCCATCTAGGTCGACCGTCTTTTTCGTTTGTGTATACCAGTAGCCCTTTTCGCATTGAGAACCTTTTGATTTGGCTATGCATGATCTCGAGCTCTTTGTTGTCATTCAAGTTGTCAGTAGTGATTGGTTTTCCTGCTGGATCTTGGATATGATCGGCGAGTGTCTTTAGTGTTTCGTCTTCTTGTTGCATTCTGATCAGGTCTTCGGAAGGCTGGGCACTGTTCAATTGGGCTCTGGTTCCAGCTTCTGCCGGGTTCTTCCCACTTCTTGTGACCAGTCTTATCACGGCGATGTCTTGGTTCGTCGACTCTTGTTGTCCGTCTCTGTCGGTTTGGTCTTCTAGCTTCCACGGGGTGCCTTCCAGGCTTCCCACTTTTGCTATGGCATCGGCTTGGTCGTTCCCAGTTTTCTCTTGACCAGGTATCTTGGAGTGCCCTTTGAGTTTCTTCCAAAATATCTTCATATCCTTGTTCTGAACCATCTTATCTATGGCCTCGAATAGTTCTCGATGGCGAATTGGTTTATTCCTATGGTTCTTCATCTCGTTTTTTTTCCATATGGGTAGGTGGTGCAGGAAGCTGTGCTGTACGTAGTTGGAATCAGTGCACACCACCATGGTCCGTATTTGGTTATCGGATGCCATTTGGACAGCGATGTGTACCCCGACCAACTCTGCATACTGGTTTGACTTTGGTCCCAGCTGAAATCCCTCTTGAATCCCTGTGAGTGGGCCAGTTTCCCAAATGACTCCTGACCCAGCGTGAAGCTTGTTCTCCTTCATCTTGGAGCATCCATCGATGTATACCACTGGTAGGTCGGCACATGTCTCCTTCCTGAAGGGCAGGTACCTGTTGTCCTCCGGAGGTATCTTTTCGTCCTCTGCTTCTATGCTGTCAAAGGTACAATCATGTAAATCGGCAAGACCTTGGGCCATTGGACTTTTCTTGTTTTTTGCGTATTTCACTGTGATTGGTAGGCCTTGGAGTGTCAGTGCCCAGCTGGCTATTCGGCTGCTGGTTACGCGGCCCTCTCGAATCTTCTTACTGTTGAGGTATGCCAAGGATTCATGATTCGTTTCCAGGATGATCTTCTCTCCGTTCAACAAGTTCCGAAAATGTTGTATGGCCCAGATGTTTCCAAATATCGCCTTCTCACACTCGGAGAACTTCATCTCCACTCCCCGGAGGGCTTTGCTGGCATAGGCAATAACTCGTTTCTCTGCTTCCTGTCTCTGGTACAGTACCGAGCTGATACTATGATCTGAGTATGCGGTCTCCAGGTAGTATTCTTTCCCTTTCTCTGGGTATGCTAGGCAGGATGCCTCTGTGATCTGTCGTTTTAATTCTTTTTCTGCGGCTTCCTGTTCCTGTCCCCACTCCCATGGTTCGTCTTTTTGCAGTAGTCTGACTAAGGGTCGAACGATTCCTGCGTAGTCGTCCACGAACTGTCGAAGGTAGTTGCAAATCCCTAAGAAGCTCCGAAGGGTCGTGACTGTGGTGGGCGATTTGAGTGCGAGGAGGGCTTCAAGTCTTTTGGTTTGGGGTAACATTCCCTCAGTGCCGACCTGGAGCCCGAGGTAGTCCACCCTTTTGCGTGCCCACTGTCCTTTTTGTATTGAAATCTTTGCGCCTGCTTCCTTTAACTGCTCGAGGGTATGCTGGAGGCTCTCGAGGTGTTCTTCCCATGAGGAGTCCTTGACCAGTATATCGTCGACATAGACGATGGTACCTCGCTCTTTTGCGTCGTCCATTGCCTTGTGTAGGAATATGTTAAAGTCCGCAGGTGAATTTGAGTATCCAAATGGACATCGGTTCCAAGTATACTGTATTCCATTGAATGTAAATGCCAACTTGTATTGATCCGCTTCTTTCACGGGCATGGTCCAGAAGCCATTTGATAGATCCATGGTGGTGAGAATTTTTGCGCCTTTTATTTGGTTGAGATTCTGGTCGATTTCTGCCATTGGCCATCGAGATAGGGGAACCGTTTTGTTGAGTTGCCTATAGTCGATGGTGAGTCGCCACTTGCCTGTGGGTTTCAATACAGGCCAAATCGGTGAGTTGTAGGTTGAGTTGCATTCTCGAATTATATTCTTCTTGAGTAGGTTCTCCAAGGTTTCTTGGATTGATTCGTAGGCAGCCAGTGGAATCTTGTATTGTTTCACATATACCGCTGGCGCTCCTTCCAGTGTGGGAATAGATACCACGTGTAGGCCGGTTTTGCCGCAATCATAGGGGTCTTCTGAGAACAGGAAGTGGTATTTGTGGAGCAGTTGACGAAGCTCATTTCGTTGAGTGTCGTTCTCGAGGGCGTCTGCTGCTTCAATTTGTTGTTCGATTTGTTCTTCTATTATGGAGACTCCTTGTCCTGGGTCTGGGTCCAAGGCCTTCGTGGTTTCGGGCGGCTCGGTTGAAAGTTCCTTTTGCGTTACTATCGGTTGAGTTGCCTTGGCTTCATCCGAGGGTAATACGCTCTTGCCCTTGTGTTCTCCTTCATCAGTTTGCAGTTCGTCGGTTTGGCCTCCAGGGGGCGGTATATACTCCATGAGGGGACGGTCATTTGGTGATACTGACTCTAAGTCGGCTTCCTTTCGGTCTTCTCTCAGTCTGTTAGTCATTAGCTGAGTGATTCGAATTCCTGCTGGGAGCTCGTCTTCGTTCCTGATTGTCGTTGATAGGTCGTCGAGCTCTTGTGTTATCACTTGGATTCCCGTGGAGTCTCTCATAACGTCTTCATCTTCTGAGTCCCTTTGTTGCTCCGGCATTGACTGTGCCCAAATTTGTCGGGATTCAAGGTTCATAATGGGTTTCAGGCGATTCAGTAGTTCTATCCCAATGATCAGCTCTTTTCCGGGGTTCCGTACGACATATAGGGGATGGTTCATGTTGATTTTGTTGAACGTCAACTTCGTCATAACTTTGCCCAATGGTCGCATGTGGGTCCCTTCACATCCTGAGTAGGTAAGTTTACTTGGCATCATTTGTAGTGTTTCATTCTTCCTCTGGAGGGCAGTCTGGAGTTCGTCAAATAATTCTCTGGATATCATGGATATTTCTGCTCCAGTATCACAAAGGCCCTGGCTGGTCAGGGTGTCTTGCAGTATTACTTCCACGTGGACTCGTCCGACTGGTCCTACGGGAATCAATTCCCCCAGATGGTACCCTTTTCCCTCTGGTACCACTTCGGTGATTGCTTCGAGGCTTCTTGTCTTCCCTACGTTCACTTGGGCTACCTTTGCGCTGGGTGTGTCCTCCTCCTGTGTGGGTATAGTTGGTATTCTTCCCTTCGCTACTTGCATGGGAGTCTTCATACTCCCTAGGAGCTCTTTTTCCATCCTAATGTGGTGAGCATATCGATTCCTGTTAGCTAACGGTGGTCTATGCTCTATTGCTAGTGGAGGCGGCAGTGGGGGACGATATGGTAACTGGTTTGGTGGGCGTCGGCCTCCGCGGGGTAGGTATGGCCCGTCACTCGCTCTTCCTCCTCCATAATTCCAGCCTCCGCCCTCTTCTGCATTCCATGGTGGTGGCGGCTGTGGGTGCCAGGTTCCTCTGGCCTCGTTCCTCCCCCCACGTGGAACGTTATTCAGCGTGTTGTGGACGGGTGTTGATTCTATTGGGTTAGGCGCCCTCTCCTGGGGGAATTCATGTCCACCCCGTGTGGCGCTAATATTATTCCTTGGAGATTCGCTTCCCTCCAGATCGAGGCATTCTTTATCTCTGGTGACGATGTGGGTTTTGGCTATGCCAGTGGTTTTCCGTCCGTTCACCCAGGCCGTGTGGGCCTTGCTTTCAATCTGGCGTAGGGAGGCAGTCTCGGGGTCCAACATCATTCCTACTATTCTCACTATTTCAGGTCTCAATGATTGGAAGAACATCACTTTTAAGACTGTCTTATCTCCCTGGGCATTGTCCACGTCCCCTGCATAATATGCTTTCTTAAGGCGTAGGAGATAATCTCGTGGGTCTTCGTCTACACGCTGGGTCATCAACTTTGCCGCGTTCAATCCTTCGGATAGTGTGGAGTATTCCCCAAATCTCTTAACTACTGCTCGGCTCAATTGTTTAAAGTCACTCTTCACCCTATTTGGCAGGGAGGCTACCCATGGTCTGGCGGGTTCATGTAGGCTCCTTGATAATAAACATGCCTTTTCTGCTGATTTACCCAGACCCCGGATCTTAGCCTCCTGTTCTACTGTAGCTATGTGAGTGTGTATATCCCTGTTCTTGTTATGTGGATCGAAATAGGGAATTCTCACGAGTGCTTTGTCCATTAGTTTTAGTGTCTTACTGTTAAAAGTGGGTTGTTCGTCATCAGTGGTGTCGGTTCCTGAGGAGTGCTCCCTTGAGCTACCCTTGTCTCCACTATCACTGTTGTCATGTGTCCCATGTCTGTGTCGTGATCTCCCTCTGTCCGAGGATTCGTATCTGTCCCGTTGCTTGTGTCTCTTGTTTTCCTTATGTGGGTCTTGTGATTCGTGCTTGTGGGTTGGTGTGCGTGATCTCCTTGAGCGGTGTCTATGTGGTGAGTGTTTTTGTCCTTGACCTTCATGCTGCCTACTACGTGTGTGGTGCCTGCTAGGTGAGGTGTTGTATTTATGTTTGTCTCGTGCTTCATGGTTATCGGGATTCCTGTCTCTGTCATCTGTGGTGCGGGTGGTTTTGCGTGGGTGATTTTTACATGTCATGCGTCCCTCTGGTGAGCTCTCTCTGTTACCCATGTCGTGTTGGTCATCGTCAGAGGAGTCAGTGTCAGATGAGCCGTCACCATCACGGTGGCTCTGCTTAACATAACTTTGGTAGTGCCTTTTGCACCTGTTACGTGGGTCAACTTGGCTCGGTGATTTCTGCTTATCCCATGGCTCATGCTTGTGTGATGTGCGTCTCTCTGGTGAGCTCCTGTTACCCGTGTCGTGTTGGTCGTGTTTGTGCGAGGTGCGTTTCTCTGGTGAGCTCCTGTTACCCGTGTCGTGTTGGTCGTGTTTGTGCGAGGTGCGTTTCTCTGGTGAGCTGTCTTTGTCATCTGCATCATGTCGGCCATACTTGCGTAGCGTGCGTCTGCCTGGTGTGCTGTTTATGTCATGTTTCCCGTCTTGCACCAGCTCCGCCCTTTTCCGCTCTATCATTACAGTGTATCCTGATGACTTAGGGTTAATTATTTGTCTCTCTATAACGTTGGGGTGGTCGGCCTCATGTTTTCCCGTTTGTATTATTATTTCCTCTTCTCTCTCCTCGATTTGCGAGGGTGTTACTTTATCAAAATTGCTTTGCATAGTAGCCATACTCATTGTGAGACCTGGCCCTGGGCTACGTCCACGTGGCTCGGAGTGTGGTAAATTGTTACTCCCGTATGTGTTCTGTGTATCAACGTCTGGGTGTTTCACTGGTGCATTTAGTGCGGATTCTTTCTCTCTCACGAGGGCGTGCAGACGCTCTACCTGCACCATTAAGGACAGTTTCTCTTGTCTCTCCCTTTCAAATTTTTCCTCATTCCATAATCTTTCTCTGTCTGTCTGTGCGAGGAGATACGAGTCTACCCTCGCTATTTCTGCAATTTTTACGTCACGTTTGGCTTTGCCACATTTCATCACGTCCTTAAGTAGTTTCCTTCTATGGGCCTTAACATCTTCTGTATGGCTCCCCTCCCATATATCTCTCTGCTCCGTCTGCTGGCTAGCAGTCCGTCCAGTACGTTTTAACACAAATTCCCGATATTGTTTTTCCATAGATTCCATCTCCTCCTCAGAGGTCCACTCTGTATCAGTGTTATGCGTTGGTGTGTCAAACTCAGAATGTTGTGGATCCTGTGCCATCTCTATTATGTAGTGTGGTTAATAGACTTAAGAGTGTATCTTAATTCTAACATCTCATGTGCGTCGTGAGTTACTCTAGAATTCCCCTTCAGAGCACATATAAACAATTGTATCACAGGATGTGTCAGTTCAACTCGAGCAAATAATCTCAGCCCAGCTGTCTTTGTTATACTCTGCTACTCTGGTATTTCCTTTCAGAGCGCGTTTTGTTTGTATACCCCCGTTTACAATCACAAGGCAACGTTAGTTCACAACACTTTGATTAACACAACAGTGATTCGTTCCTGAATTCATGCATAAACTGTCTGCGAGAGATCCCGGACGACGCCACCCATTATGTTGTATATGTTGGTTATCAAAATTTGTTATGTTGTATGCGTGCGTGGGTGAAATTATTATGTTGTATATGTGGGTTATGAATATTCAGTGAAAATAATAATAATTAAATGAAATTTGGCCAAATGTGTAATTATCCGGAAATATGTTAATTTATGTAATTATGCACATTTTAATTATGCCAATTCGAGAGGTAATCGTATTAATTATGCGAGTGGGTGTAATTATGATAATGCAAGTCGTTATGATAACCAGACCCCGCCTCGGTG